TTCGTAATAGAATTTTATGTTTGGTTATTTGTTACTTTGTTTTATTTGGCTTTTCCACTCGTGTTGGAGGTCTGCCAACGATGCCTGAATGTCCTCAACCAGCTGTACGGTAATGTTGGGTGTTTCGTCATTTTCCAGGCGCAGTGCTTTATAACTTTTTTAAATCGTCCCTTCGATACTAATCCCAATTGATTAAAATTACTTTTTTTCACTTAAACAAAATTAATTACAAACATAATATTAAGATAATGTAAAAACATTATCTAATTAGTTTTATGAAAAAACAAAACTTATTATCACAAAAATTACTATTATTATTATTATTATTACCACAAAAATTATTTAAAATGTTAGGTAATATTTTTACGCCACTAACTACTTTTAAATATTTAATTATAAAATAAAAAAAATCTTTATACTTAAAAGTGCAGCATATATGCTGCACTTTTAAGTAAAGATTTTTTTTCTTCTTCTTTTTTGAAATACAAAAAATATTTCTTCTATTTTTTAATATTCTCTGTATTTTGATACATAAAAGAATATAAATAATAAAACTTTTGATAGCGCCGCGGAAAATAGAATGCGACAAGAAAAATATTTTCAATCGTTTTCAAAGAGCTCGCGGGAGATTTAACGATTCAAGTTTCAAAGCAAATATTGATGTGGCTTACAGCGATTGATTTCTGCAAATGAAAGGCAGTAGACGACGGAATAGTTTTAGAGACGAGGAGAAAAAAAATTGCAAAAAAAAAAAAAAAAACGCCATGGTATAAAACTAGTGCACAAACGAGAAGCAAATAAAGTGAAAATTGAAAAAGATAGAAGAAAGGTATAAACACGCACACAAACGATTTAAACAGCTTGTGGTCCTTTTCAAAAAGAAAAAAAAAGTAAAATTAATTACTCAGAGTAATACATTTTTCACAGAAAGCCGCAATTCATTAGCAAAAAAAGGCGAAAATAAAATAAAACTCTTTCATTATAAGACAAAAGAGTTAAAATTTTTTTAAAAATACTGCAGGCGAAAAGTTTTTGCATAGATGCAAAAAAAAAAATTATTTTTCATGAATTTTGCAACTAACTTACAAAGTTACTTTTTATAAATAAATTTTGCAAATAGGAAGGATGGGCATACGATTTGATCAGAAAAAAAACTGTTTTTTTATATTCTTAAACCATGGACAAAAAATGGCGAACCATAGTAAGAAAAAAATTTTTTTATTTTTTTATGGGCAAAGAATGGCGAACTTCGAAAAAAAACTATTTTTTTATATTTTTAAACTATGGGCAAAGAATGGTAAGCTATGAAAAAAAAATATTTTTAGTTTTTAGAGTTTTTTCTATTTCTGACAATAGTTTCCTTTTAAATAATTAAATTCTATTGAAGAACTGACATATACTGCTATAAAATCTAGAAATTTAATTAATTAAAATTTTTTTTTTTAAATTCTCGTCAACATTTTAATTATCTTTATAAATATTGCAAAATTCTTCGCCGAAATTCAATTATATTCAGGAATTTTTATAAAATTTATTGTAAAATTCAATTATTTTCATAAATAATAATAATAATATTCATCACAAGAATTCAATTATTTTCAAAAGAAATAAAATTCAATTATTTTCAAAAATTTTTCTTAATTAAATGATTTTCAATATTCTACTATTTTAATAAAATTTCCAAGAAAGAATTCAATTATTATACAAAAATTTTAATAAAATTCTACATGAATTCCAAAAAAAATAAAAATTCCACTAGAATTCAATTATTTAAAATAAAATTTGCCTAAATTTTTTGGAAAAACTCAAATGTTTACAAATTTGTCATTAAATTCTTCGCAGTAATTCAAAATTATTTTCATAAATTTTAAAATTCTTTTCAGGGATTTAATAATTTTTATAAATAATAAAATCATTTGGAGGAAGTCAATTATTTTTATAAATAATAATATTCATCACAAGAATTCAATTATTTTCAAAAGTAATAAAATTCAATTATTTTTAAAAATTTTAATAAAATTCATTGCAAAATTTAAATTATTTTCAAAAATTGTTCTCAATTCAATAATTTGTGAATATCTAGATATTATTTTAATAAAATTTCTCAAAAGAATTCAATTATTTAAAAACAATTTTGACAAAGTTCTCAATGAATATTTAATTATTTTCTAAAATAATGAAAATTTTACAGGAATTCAATTATTTAAAATAGAATTTCCATAAATTTTTCCAAAAAAAACCAATTGTTTGAAACTTTTTTATAAAATTCTTCCCAATAATTCAATTTCATAAATAATAAAACTCATTGCAGTATTTCAATTATTTTTAATACAATATTAATCAAAAAATATAAATTTTTTGAAGATTTTTTTATATTTTTAAAAATTTTATTAAAATTCGTCGAAAGAATTCAATTATTTAAAAATTTGTTGATAAAATTATAATATAAGAATTTAATTATTCAATAAGTTATCTATGTTTGTATTTAAATAATTGAATTCTCGTAGAATTTTCCGATAAAAATTGATTTAAAAATTAATTTCAGTTAAACTGGTTTTAAATAATAATTGAATTTTGGAGAATTTACTAACCATTGCAATTTTTAGAAATAATTGAATTTTCAATTATTGAATTGAATTTTCAATTATTGAATTGAATTTTCAATTATTTTATATTATTCAATAATAATGTTTGAAATTAAAATCTTTGAAAATTTGAATTTTTGATAATTTTAATTAAAAATTCTATTATGGAACTAATTATTTTTTAAAAAGATTAATCGAAATTTTTTAAAATTATTTCAATTTTTTATTTTCTTATGTATATTTATTTAATTGAAGAATTTCAGAATAATCAAAATTTTGCAAAACTGAATTTTTAAATAAGAATTTGAAAATTCTCAAAAGAACTTTATCATAAATTATTAAAAGTAATTGATTTAAAGAAGAATTTTATTTAAAAAATTGTAGAAAATAATAATTGAATTTAAATGATGAACTTAATTTTAATTAAATATTTATTTGAAAATGAAGTTATTGGTGTTTTTGTATAATTTAACAATATTGAAGATATTTGTAAATAAATGCAATAGAACATTTTTTTTGAGTATCTAATTATTTTTTGAGTGAAAATTTTGACAATAAACTTTAGGATTTTCAAATGAAAAAGAAATATTATTATTTTTAAAGAGACTATATTCTTTGACGAGGATAAATAATAATCAAAAATACAATTAATTTTAAAAATACTTCTTCCAAAATAGTGCAAGAACTGTGTCTTTATTATACTAAATAAACTATTTAGCAATAGCATTTTGCACTCGAAGTAAACTCAAGTTTAGTCTAAAGTCAAATTTCACGATGGTTTCCAAGGTTTCTCAGGTACGTTTTGATGAAAATAGTTATGGTTCTTGACGTTTAACCAACTGGAAACCTTAGATTCAGCTCTTGAAAATTCAAGATTTCTAGTGAGTGCACTCTCATTGTATATGAGTTTCGAAATATTATTAGACACTTGCGGGTCTTTAAACTTTATAGAAAAATAAAAAAAAAAACGTTTACGTGACATATAATTCTTGAATGAGAAAAAAAAACAAACTATTACTACCTTGAAGCTCTTTCTGGCAAAAATAGACGTCGTAAAATAGTAATAATTGTGCACTCAGTATAAAATTAACATAATTTAATATCCTTTTTTTTATATTGCCTTGGGCAACAAAATCGAGTTCAAGTGAAACTCATCTAGTTTAAGTAACATATTTTTAATAGTCTTTCTCGTTAAATTATATTTTAATTTTATAAATAAATTTTTATTATTGCCAGTCAAGGAACGGATTTGTAATTTTTGATCCTAAAATGAAAAAATTGGATTTTTATTACTATTAAATAGAATAAATATTAATTATAGAGTAGTGGTAAAAAAATGTCTCAAAGAAATATTCGTAAAAATAGAGAAAAAAAAATTTAGGGGACACCCGGGTTTGAACCAGGGACCTCTCGATCTGCAGTCGAATGCTCTACCACTGAGCTATATCCCCACATGTATGTAAAATATTTTTTATTTTTCAAAACGAGAAAATAATTTCAATAATCACCTGTGTAATGATAATGTGTGTGTTAATTTATCGATAAGAAGTCCCAAGGAGGAAAAATTTATTTTAAACCAAAAATTTAAGACAAAATATCTTTTTTCTTGTTGTCCCCTTTTTTTTCTTATTAATCACTTATTTTTTTTCTTATTGTTAAAAAAATTGAAAATTACCATAAGAAACAATTGAAAAAAAACTAGCAAAATAGAGAAAAAAAAATTTAGGGGACACCCGGGTTTGAACCAGGGACCTCTCGATCTGCAGTCGAATGCTCTACCACTGAGCTATATCCCCACATGTATATAAAATTTGTTTTATTTTTTAAAACATTCGAAAAATGATAATAATCACCTGTGCAATTGAGACAAATGTATATATAATGCACTGATAAGGAGTACGAGGAAAAATATAATGATGACAATTAAGGAAATTAAATGAAAAAAAAATAAAGTTCAACAAGAGAACGTTTGTTTATTCATCCTCAGTTAAAATCAAACTTGATAGTAAAATATTTGAAAAAAATAATTTCACGTTACGTAATTCTCAATGTTTGTAGGGGGAAAAAACCCTTCGAAAAAAAAATTTAGGGGACACCCGGGTTTGAACCAGGGACCTCTCGATCTGCAGTCGAATGCTCTACCACTGAGCTATATCCCCACATGTTAATTTCTTACATTTTATAAATCAAAAAGCGTAAAGTCGAGAAATTTAACTACGGAAATTGATAACGATTCTAATATAATACGTTGACATTTTTTTCCCTCATTATCAACACTTGAATAAGTTTTTAAATCCATGTATACTGATTATAATTAAGTGTAAATTTATTATCTATTTCATTAATAAAAAAAAGTAACAGACTTCATGTTATAAAATCGATATTATTATCAACTGTTCTTTTGTTTATTAATTAGAAAATGTCAATAAAAATTAAAAATATTCTCAGGTGGGAAAAAAGTATAATTTTTCATTAATTACTCCCAAAAAAAAATGTATTAAAAAATATTTTTGTTTTTAGATTTGAAAATTTTTTCACAATATTTACAAAATGACTCGTCGAGAAAGTGTCGTAATTCTAGTGATGGCTGCTTTAAAAATTTTACAAAAAACTGATAAACCAACGATTAGGAAAATATTTGCTTTTATTACAAAGTGTAGTCCGCAGAAAACACCGAAAAGAATGGTAAACTTGTATTATTGTTATTATTTTTAATTAAAAATTAGAATAAAATTTATTTTTTACAAATAATTATAATAATAATTGTAAGGTTATTAATTTAAACAAAAAAAAAAAAAACTTATTTAATAATTTTTAGAAATAATTTTAAACAAGCAACTAATTAATTGTAACTGTAATTTAATTCTTCGGATGCAATAAACGACTCCATTTGGCCTGGAACTATTTTCATTAAATAAATAAATAAAAAAAATAAATATAATATAAAAAGATCTAATAAGTCCTTTTTTTATTAATTAATTCCAAAAAATCGTTTTAACAAACAATTATTAAATATTAATAACAATAATTAATTAAAATTTAACAAAACATTTAATTGTAATGAAATTTTACTACTTATTATCAATAAAACATTTTTTTTCGTAGATAGTTGCTGCACTTAAAAGATGCGTTGAATTTGGAATAATGAAACAAAAACGTGGACATTATTTTTTGTCATGTTATGACGATCAGCAAAAAGTAAAACTTGAAGATTTAAAAACAACATCCGAAATTCCACTGTCGTTGAAAAATAATGTTTTAAAATTTAAACTTCCCAAAGTAATTCATCCAAAAAATGAGTCTATTTGTTTAAATGTGAAAAAAAATGAAAATCCATTGAGAATTAAAAAAGAAAAATCACAATTATTATTCCTGACGAAACAACATTCAATTTGCGATTTGTACAAAAATCCAGAATATAAAGATTCACAATGTTCGATAATGTACACAATTTCTCATGAAATGTCCTAATTGTCCGATTGTTAATAATTTACAAGAATATTATTATAAAAAAAAAAATTCGTCTCTGAATGAAAATTAATTTTTGTATTTGAATTACATTTTTTTAGTCTTAAATTTAATTATTATTATTATTGTACATTTTCAAACACGGAGAAAAATTGTTTTAATGAATGGAAAAATAAATAATAATTAATTTTTTTCAATTTTGTTTTTTCGACTTTTTTAAAAATATTTACAACTTTTTTAACTTTCAACCGATCAATTTACGACGTTGACCAAAAGATAATAGATTATTTTTCTAAATTATTATAAATTATGAAAAAGTAATATAAATTATTATAAATTATTATAAATTATTAAAAATTATTATAAATTATTAAAAATTATTATAAATTATTTAAAAATTTCATAAATTACTATTTAAATGCTTATAAATGAAATTATTTAAAATTTTTACTGTAACAGTTTTTTATTCAAGAAATTGTTACAAAAGAAGTGAATAAGCCATATCAAATATTTAAATTACCATGAATTGTAATTCAAGTGTAAATTAGGCTAATTCATGATCCAGAAATTTTGACTAACAAATTATAGTGACACAACACAAATGACAATTTTATTACTTTGACATTCTTTTCTTAATTTCATCATTTGTCTCTACATTTATTTCTCCTATTATATATTTTAAAATATTTTTTTCTATAATTAATTACATTAATGGTAATTTACCAAATTAATGTAAACTAATAAAAAAAACCAATTTTTAAATGATTTTTGCTATTTGTTTACTTACCGAATAATATCTTCTTTAAATAATTAAATAATTTAAATTAACGAACAATCGAAATGAATCATTAACTTTTCATGAATATTATAATTCTTCAGTTTCTTTCGTATTAAATTGAAGTCTAGAATCGCAATTTCCTTTCCAATTTCCGAGAATCAAGTACCATTTAAATGAGGAGAGTCAATTATAAATTAATTCAAGGGAATAGTTTTCAGTTAAATTGGATAATAAAATTATCAGTTGTATTTTATTATTAGTGAAAGTTTTTGTGAGGAAAAATCTTTGACAAAAATTAATTTGTTTAATTAATTAAATTACAGAATACCTATAATTTCATTTTTATTAAAATTTATTATATCAATTAGTCAATGGATAATTTTAATTGTATTTTGAAGATAATATTCAATTTATCATCAAAACACATTTAAATAAACCTTTGAATAGTTTTGGTATAGTGAAATTCTTTTTGTTGAAATTATTATTTGTTAAACAAACTATTTTGTTTAATATGTGTTTCAAAATTGTTCATTTTTTCAACAGTGGATTTTTTTAATGGTTTTATAAATAAAACTTTCTTTGAAAAAAAAATGAAATTATTTAATTAGGAAATTTGCAACAAATATTCTAATCTTTAATTATAACTTTATTTTGACAATCAATTATTGCAGACATATATATTAAAGTAATAAAATTCAACCCTACAAACGTGTAATAGTGATAAATAATATAATTTATAATAAATTCTATTATTTATGAAAAGGAAAAAATCTTTACATGAAAAACCTATAGATTACATTATATTAGAGAAGCTTTTAGTTGCATTATTATTTCCGTCATTCTAGAGAAAGTAATGTTCGTTCCAAATAAAGGAATTTTTTCGTAAAGCTTTTTCTAAACTATAAAAAATGTTCATTAATTAATACATTTCATTTATTACGAACAATTGTTTCGTTTATTTATTTAAGTATTTTACTTGAATTCAATATGTTCTTGAGGTAAGAACATTAAAAATCTTTTGTTTTATCATTAATCATCAAAGAATAAAAATGTTATACATTGAAGTAAAATTTCTTTTTTCATCCCTTAATGTAAAATAAAATGTTTTGTTTGGAATAGGAATCAATACTTTTTCACTAAACCACACTACACGAAACTGGGCTATTCACTTAACACTTTTTAATTTTCTTTTGTTTTTATATGAGTGATATTAATTAATTTAACAAATTTTTCGATATCTACAGCATGTGCATCTTCTGTGTACTTTTAAAACAATTTAATTTTGTTGAAAGTTGAATACAGTAATTCTTGATAATCTTCCATAAGCAAAGCAAGAGTTTTTTCTCGCACTCATTTTCAGGAAGATTAATTCCGAAAAATAGTCTTTTTTTATTTAGGTTTTTATATTACACGAATTACAGGCACACTTTTTTTTGAAAAAAGTTTAAAAAATTTACCCGAATCTCAATTTAAGACAATTAGCTGTCTCGAATTGCTGCCATGCAACTTCTTAACATGGAGTTAAAGATCTCAATTTGAGAGCATAAAGAAAACCTGTGCTCTGTTGCTGATAAAATTGCACAAAATTTCTGCTAAAAGAACGATTATGGCCAAAGTGTATCCAATGGTCAGGACGTAGAAGAGAACCAACAGCAATTTTTCTTTTTCAATTATTTCTGGAGTTGCTGGAACTACTTTTTTTTGTAGCTCATAGTCAGAAAACAGTAGTTTTTGCAGTAAACCGTGATCAAAGGCTTTCAAAATTATTTCGTTAAAGCGATCTTTTAAAGGTGAATAAGTCCTTGTAATCCAAGTTATTGGAAAGAACGCGATGGACTCCTGTAGTATTTCAAATCTGAAATCTTGTGATTTAGTATTGAACATTTCTACATTAGTTTCAGCCTCAAGCAATATACATGTAACGTTTCTGTTCTTCAACAAATATTTTAAACATTCGTAGCCAAGTCCATTACCAGGACGGATAACCGATTTGAATGCTAGTTTTCGAACATGAACGTGAGGACTGTTTAGCATTGTCTTATTTATGAAGGGGGCGATCATTGGCGTCAATGACGAATTTGCTAGTTCTTCGAGAGTTGAAATTTGTGGTGCTTTTCGGAAATTAATGTCCAAAATCACTGAGAACAAGTAACCGGAGTAGACCATGCAACTCAACATGAAGGCACCAAAAACTATCCTCTCTGCTAATTTTCTTGGTTCGTTGACTACGGACATTCCCATTATGATTTGACTGATGCTGAACGTGTTCCAAGTGCTTCTTTCAAATCGTAAGAACCAAGTTGCAATTCTAAGAACAGCAATTACAACAGCTGTTGCAAATATCATGTAAATCAATTCCTCAGAGACTTCAACACTTCCAGTTTTACTTCTTACATTTGGAATGACTGCCTTTGCTGTACCATACATCAAGATACGCATTGGTATACTATTAATACTATTATTCCGTTCTTCTAACATCAATCTCTCTATAGTCATTTCTGCATTTACTTTTTGTAGATAAAATGATTGTAATCTTTCACTGGTAGATAGTAATTCAATTCTACAACCGATTGATTGCGTAATACAAGTGCCAAATTTTCCCAATTCAATTAATCTTCTGCTGGGTATCATACCATTGTAGAAAGGCATTATTAGTTTTATACGTTGTCCGTGAAGGTTTAATAGTTTGTTTGGAAACCATTTTGTTTGTGGCTTAACTTTCTGTTTTGTATATTTCTTTCCAAAAAGATTGATTCTGTGAATAGTGGTCACATCTGCTGTTTGCCATGTTTGATTTTGAACCAAACTTTCCAGTACAGAAATGTCAAGTATGTCTTTGTGCCATAGAGATTTTAGCATTTTTTCGTAAGAATAAGCCTTTGTTTCATTACTGAAGTATATTAGGCACTTGGGGAATGAATGTTCATAGGAGAGATTGAATAGTTTAGCGAACATAGCAATCAAATAAGGATTGGTATCATTTCCAGATCTATTGAGAATAAAAATAAACAGCGTCGTTCTTCTAGGAAATTGTAGATGTAATGAAAAGTATTTTTCCAAACCATCGTTTGCTTCACGTGAACTCATGCTCAATGATGGAAAGTGTTTAGAAACATCATGAATAAGTTGTGCGTTGGTATTGGATTCTGCATTTGCAAGAAATTGATCATCAATTATAAACATTACCTGGTGGAGTTTAGATTTTCCTTTCAGGTATCTTATTAATCCAGAAGTGTAATTGCTTCTTCCTGACACAGCCAGAACTATTACACTAAAGAGTACAGCACCAAATGTAATTCTTAAGAACTTCATCATTTTTTTATACTTTAACAAAAAATTAACCGTTCCATTTATATGAGAAGAATCAACTCTTCTTGTAGTCTTACAAAAAAGATGTTGTAGGTTTGAAATTTTCTTGTCGTCTGACATTGTTGAAGGGCAAAAGTGTCTATTTAAGTTTGCACATACTTGTGCAGGGCCTACAATACTCACAATTATTAGTCATTTGATGCTGAAAGATAATCAAAATTGCTTTTTTAAAAATTATTTTTACAATATTTTCCATAATGTTTGAAAATTCACAATTGTTTATCATTTACCATCATACAAGTTTCTTATATTTCAACGTAATCGTTTTCTACGATCGTGTATTATTGTTAATTCAAAAAAATATACAAATATCTTTTTACCTTATCAAAAAAAATCTTTATTTTTTACAATTAAAGTTGACCTTTTTCTTTCATTTCTTAAGTATAGATAATATCATTTTAAAAGTAAAATAATAAAGGCAGGTGAATTTTTAGGTTCGCAATTATATGTATAGAAATTGTGTCATCACCAGGGCAACCATAAAAAATACAAAAGAAGAATTATTTCTTAAAATATCTTAAAATTCTTTTATCCTTTAATGCAAAGCCAAATGAGAAAAATCATCACTCTTTCACTATTTTTAGAAAAATGCGACTTTTTTGCCACTTACTCTCTAAAAATGGATCTGGGTTCTGATGGTATCTCTATATGTGTCGTAGTGAAAGCCTTGTCAGCTCTATTCTCATTTATACTTGATCTTTTTAATATGTCTCTTCAAACCTCAGTCTTTCCTGATGATTGGGAGAAAAACCCTTATTAAGCCTATTAACAAAGTGGGGACCCCGCAGCACCCTTAGAACTACCGACCTATTGCAATTCTCTGTTCTTTGTCAAAGGTACTGAAAATAATAGTATA